AGTGCCATCATCCAAATACCAAGCCTGCAAACATAAGTCAAAAGAATCCCTAATTTGACAAACCAACGGATGGAGCACCAAAGCAAAAAGCAAAGGGCCAAGTGGATCACCCTGCTGCACACCCTGACATGACCTTAAGGTATGCTCCCCATAATAAAGCCTGGCTGGAGTAGAGTAACAGAATTCAACCCAACGCGAAAGAGCTGGACAACGGAGACGAACCTCACGCAGTAAAGCCGTACGATCAACCAAATTAAAGGCATTCCGGAAATCCACCAGCAACATAGAGAGGCCAACATCACCACCTCGAGCCTCAACCAAACGATTAACAGCATGAAGAATAGCCTCGCCACCCGCCGGCACCCCAACACCAAACTGAAGACCTCCTAAATAGTTCCCCATACGCGGACCAACTAAAGCAGCCCCAACCTTTGAAACCAGACGCCGCCAAACAATACCCACAGCAATAGGACGAATACCACCACCAGGCTTAACAAGTGGCATGAGAGGAGCACTAGCAATATACTCCCCCAACTCAGCAGGACAATTTCCTGCGAGAAAGAGATTAACCACCTGCGTAATAGAGCCCACCAACTCATCTGAAATAGCAACCGCAGCACCACTCAAGCAATCCAGAAGGTGCTGAGCACGCAAGCCATCTCTACCGCATGACGTACCACGCGGAAAACCCCTAATTTGATCCAAAACAACAGCAGATGTAGCAATAAGGGGCTGATCAACGGGGATATCCGGTAAGATGGGAGCCGGAAAGGAAGGGTGCTTAGCTTGTAAATCAGCAAGAGTAGCATCATTGTAAGGGGCAAGACCAGAAGACGAAAGAACCCGAACCGCAGCAGTGTAATGTCCGTCACAAATCTTTCTCTTACATTGCTTAATATTTCGCTCAGACAAATCATGCTCATCATCAGCTTCCAACAAAGGAGGAGACACATCTGCCAACGTATCTCGCACAAGATGCACAGAACCACCATGCTCACACCAAGAACGAATAGCAGCGGTGATACTCTCTTCCTGCCGCCGCCGCCGGACACCCGAAGAACACTCACGACTACTCCTCGGGGTAAAAGTTTTAAGAACACAAAGAGGCAACACAAGTAGTTGAACCCAACAAGAGACGTCATCAGGCTTGCAAATCACCTTATCAAGCGCTCCTTTGAGAACCCGAGAAAAACCCAAGCGACACTTTGGAGGAATAGATTTCACCGAACGGAACCGCTTAGATAGCAAACTATCCAGGAGAGCAACATCGAACGCCAAAAGAGGCTGACGAGGCGCACTAGAAACAAGATCAGATACCTCCGAAGAAAGACCCTGAGGTTTAGGAAAACCATAAAGAACAAACCGAACAACACCATCCCCCAAATCAGGTGGGTCCACAATATCATCCGAACCACGACCATGTCGACACTTCGTACGAAAAGTATGAGTCTTGAAACACTCCCCACAAAGCCAAATGCCCATACGCCGAAAAGTTGACTCCGCCTCTAAGAAAATAGCCAGATTAGAAGCAAGAGAGCATCGGGTCATATCCCGCGCATCCGCACAACAATGACGGTCACGGAGATGAGTGATCAAAGAAGTTTTAGTGAGCCCATTACCTCTGCCATCTTGACACCCATTAAGACCCACGAACGGGCAATGAAAGAGAACACTAGGAGGCATAACATCCACCACAACTTGCCACAAGAGAACCGTAATACAACACAACGCAAACTGCACCAAAAACTAACCAAAAACTGCACCCAAGAAGCACTAGAAACCGCCTAGCAACTGCAGCCAAGAAGAACACACAAGAACGCAACTGAAACAGCCCGGAAACTACTCCGAAACCACCTGAAAACAGCCTACAGAAACTGCCCGGAAACTGCTAGAGGTACTGCAGCAAAACAACCCTATGAAACCGCCTAAAAACTGCACCTGATCAACCCAAAATCAGACCATAAAAAAGTCCTGAAAACAGATGCCGCGAACCACTTAATACTGCCTGAAAAACGGCTGTAATCGCCGGAAAAGAGAAGCCCTCGCCGGACCTACAACCGCCTGGTTAATGATCGCAGAACCAGCCTGAAAATGAACGTGGAACGAGCTTGAATTTCGCCCATAAACTGCCCTCGAATTGCCCTGAAATTGCCCAAACAATGAAGCCCGAAACAGCCTGAATTTCGCCCCAAAAGAACCGAGGAAACCTCCGGAAAGAAGCCTGACCTGAAGGCGCCGACACCGAGCACCGCCGCCTGATATTAAAGGACTAAAAGCCGCCGGAAACCCCCCCCCACGCCCAGCCTAATCGCCCTAACGAGAGTGTTTTTATTATTATTATTATTATTATTATTATTATTATTATTGTATGTTGTTGTAGTCCAATAATGTACTCTTAAAATATACCAAGTACGAAGTAGTAAGACAATAAGTCAGGTATTAAAAAAATGTGTTAGCTCTGACCTCTAGTCTTATGAATAGCAGCCTGTAAGAAATTCTGGAGTAGGTTAAACTTCTTGATTTATTTGATTCTAATTAATAAAAAAGCTATTAATTAATGTTTATTTGAGGGAAGAGAAGGTTATATATAAGTTAATTTGGATAGGGTATTGAACTGGTAATGTTAAAGCACGAATCAATGTAATATGAGCAAGTGTCAACACTAAGGCCCTATACTATTCACCTTATTTCCACTTAATTTAGGAGAAATAAGTTCAGATAAGATAAGTTCAGGAAAAATAAGTTCAGATAAGTTGTGATAAGGGTTAATAAGGGCTACTCAAGTTCAATTTAAATCTAAAATAAGTTCTAATAAGTAAAAATCAAGTGAATAAAACACATCACAACTTTTCTCCCTATTCGCACTAGTTGTTGCTTATACCATACCATTCATTTTATGATTATGTAAAAAAATTAAATGATTAAAACTCCTTATGTTTAAATGTAGACATACAACTCCACTAATAGATTTGGTAGAATATGAGAATAATAAGATATAAGTGTATGATGTATTTTCCAATTTTTTTTTTAAATAAATTTTGTAAGAAACTACCTATTTTAAAAAATGTTGTAAGTTTTGTTTAAAAAAAATAATAAAAAAAAAACTACCTAATAAATGTTGTAAGATACTATCTTTGGCCGAATTTCTAGTGTTAACCTAATTTTACGGCGTTTTCCACCTCAAAACACCCACGAGACCATCGTGGAGTTGGTTTTCAAGGTGGAAAGGTTATTTTTGGAGTGGTTGATTAAAGGATATTCTGAGTCGGTGTAGGTAGTTTCATGCATGCTTCGGGATGGTTGTTTTTTGATTTAGAGGAGGTAAGGGTGGTTTTGACATGGTGGAGGCTACTTCAAGCAGGTTGTGGTGGTTTTGTGGATGAAAGCGGTGGTTTCGGGGATGTTTTAAGGTTGGCCAACGGTGAAAATCCGGCATAACAACATTCTACCTTTTATTAGGTAGTTTCTTACAACATTATTTTACCTTTTATTAGGTAGTTTATTACACATTTTTATTAGATAGCTTCTCACAAAATCTGAGTTTTATTAAGTAGTTTTGACTATATATATATATATATATATATAGTATTGAAGGTGGTACATCTTTGTGAAACGGATTGATAATATGCAAAGGGAGGAGTATGAAGTAATAATAGGATCGAGTGGCAAAAGATTGAGTAGAGTATGGCTAGAAAACATTTGGTCAGCTGACTCGTCAAAAGAGGGAGGAAGAATTCAATTTTATGCATTCAAACCTAGTCTAAGGCATGTATTGCATGAATATTATTGAGCAACTAACCCTAAATAACAAAATATTCACTAAGACCTTTCCGTCCACCATGCGTCCAATGAAAGGTCGCCATGTCACCCTCCAAATATAAAGTATGCTGACATGGCTTCACTTTATTGGACAGTAGTTGGGACCCACAAGGTCATCCACAAATTCAAATTCAAACATTGATAATTAACTAACAACAAAAAAGTTTCGGAGGCTTAAACTTTTGACCATGTTAATTAGTTCATTGGTCCAATTCTTTGTTTTTTTCCTACATAGTTTTAAAGATGAAGTACTTGTTTATAATCCCTTCAAAAAAAAAAAAAAAAGAAAAAAAAGTACTTGGTTTTTTTTTGGAACCAAGTACTTGTTTATAATAATGTTAATTAATAATTATAGTAATAATGATAAATAAATTAAGAAAATTTATTTGACCTTTTCATTGATAGGAGAAGTCCATTGGTCAGTTGTGCATACAGAAAATGGGTGCCCCACTGTTTCTCCTCACTATCTCTCCTCTTAGAAGCAATTGTTGACGTTGACATTCTAATTTTAATATGAAGTACAATAAAATAAAATTCTTTAATTTTTATTAATAAGTATTCCTTACGTCTTTGAAGTGTCTCATATTAACTTGACATATATTAACTTGACATATATGACAATGCAGAATTTTGACCAATTACAAACTTTGGTGTAAAGTAGGTTAAATAAATAGTATAAAATGTATCAAATGACACTTACAAAAACAAAAGGAATACTCTATTATACTCCGTATTAAAAAAATAATTTACACAAGCATCAATAGTTTTTCAAAGTGCCAAACAATTAGCTATGTATATATAATCCACAACAATCCAAAATTATTTAACTTATCTATCTTACCTCAACATATATACGGAGTACAAATTAAATGTATACAACTATATATATATATATATATATATATATATATATATATATATATAATTTTGAGATATGAAATACTATTATCATTATTATTTTCAAATAAAAAAAAAGTCAATATTATGCTTCATTTTGCTTGTGAGAGTGAAATGTACTAGATGGTTATAGTTGACATTTCTTTGTTTCCATATCAAACGAAAAAGATAAGGTCTAACACCGGCAAGTAATTTGATTTATTTGGTTTTGTATAAAAGTCAAAAATAAATGAAAACTCCCCTTTAGAATAGTGTTTAAAAATAATTATTTGACTATGTTCCGTACATTTCAGTCTATATATATGCAAATTAAACTTGCAATTGGAACATATTATGAAGCGATTACCCAAGATAACGTACTTCAACCTCTCCAAAGATTAAGGTAAGAATTTTAGAATTTGATATCCTGTTTTTAACTTATTCTGTTTTTTGGTATCGGTATAATGACCTAGTTTGGTCTAATTAAGCTTTTCACTTATTCTTTTTGGTACCAATATGATGATCTAGTCTAATCTAATCAAATCGAACTGTACAGACCTAATATTTTGAAAATTTTAATATAATGCCAGCTTTTTTTGCTTTGTCTTTTTTTTTTTTTTTTTTTTTTTTAAAAAAGACAAATTTTATTGTTTTAGAGATTTTCTTTCTAAAGTATCTGACTAAGCTAGATAAAAAACTTACTCTTTATTTATTTATTTATTTATTTATTTTATGTTATATCTATAAACCAGTTTATGTTAATAAATAATCAATGATGTCAAGATAAGTAGCAGCTGTTATATTGATATTGGCAGTATATGGTCAACTACTCTATCTTGATGAACATTATTTTATCTACGCATGAAATAAAAATCTAGATCTTTAAGTGAATGGTGACTATATAATATATATGGTTATTTAAGTCCGATGTATTTTTTATACTTTAATTGATTTATATATAATGATATTTATAGCTTAAAATGATGTATATACTAAGCTTAAATTATTCTTAGGTGAAAAGAGATGGGTTAATAGATCATAAATGAATTTAAATTATGCTTTATATCATACGGATTAGGTACATATATAGTGATATAAGTTTTAATTTCACTTGTTTTTTTCCTCCTAATTTGGATCATTATTGGATGATGAAGTTAGTAAAATATACTTAGTAACTAGTAAGTAATAACTCCTAGAACCTCTCCTATTGATTGTTGAAATGTACTCCTTAGAGAAACAATAATGTGAGATTTTTAGAACTACTAGCTAGATCCACGATCCACACATCTCGAATTCTCGATCATTGAGATCCTATCACTACACAATTACTTCTTTTTTTTTTCTTTTTTTTTTGAACGGGAAGAATAATATCATTAAACAAAAGCCATACGGCATCTAAATTAGTTATAATTTTGATTGTAAAAGTTAAAATATTTTCTCTAAATTTGTGGTTTACTACACAATTACTTTATATACCATTAATTCAGTATTTACAATACATTAAAGAAAAAATTATCAGTATTTTTATTTACTAGATTACGGTTGAAATATTTTGAACTAGTGTTTATTAAAAAAAAAAAAAAAAATAAAAGACTCTTAGCACACCTAGATCATACCTATATATATGTGAGATTTAATAATTCATCACACGCATCTTGGATCAGAAAATACATGTTTTTAATTCAAGTTTACAAGATTAGACTTCAACTAGTGGCAAATAACATATTACTTCAATTATTATTATTATTATTATTATTATTATTATTATTATTATTATTATTATTATTATTATTATTATTATTATTATTATTATTATTATATACTAGTTGCAAATAGTATTATTTACGTATCATTAATTTATTCCATACATACTGCCAAAAAAAATAAAAAAAATAATAAAAAAATTATTCCATACAAAATGTCATTGATTAACGAGTCTGTCAAAAAATCCGACTATTTCCTCTGACCTATATTAAAAAATGACATGAATCTTTTGTATATAAGAGGCCCCCACAAAGTCAACATAAAATGGTCATGGATTCCTTTTCAGAACAGCTATACTATATTAATATAATTTTTCTTCTGATCATGTTCTAATCCAATTTCTTCATCTGTCATTAATGTTAATTAATAAGACTGATTGAATCTATTTTTTATACTAATTATAATTATCTCGTTGGTTAACCACTCTTATTCCACGATCTAGCTAGCTTCCTTGAGTTGAATTATATATATAAATAATTTTATCCTATATATAGTCCACATGTGCTAGCTTAGCTTAGCTAAGGTAATTATCATTTTATTTGTTGGGAACTACTCTAATCCATCTTATTTTAATTTATATATCTTTTTAATTTGTTATGGGTAGTCGACAAAAGGTTGATTTACTATATGATATGTTGTATATATATCATTTTGGTTGGTCTAACATTATATTAATATACTAATTGGCCTCTTATTACTATATATATTTATACATTAGGTTGTCCTAATTCACAATTGTGTGTATTGTAGTTTATTTTCTCATACCTACTTGTAAGAGATCGAAAATGGAGGCCGAGCTTAGTGGTTCTTCAATCTATAATAATGATCAAGTAAGTCTTGTAATTTTTCATAAGATTATCCCGTTTTCTCTCTTAAGCACCATATCTGGATGATCTAATAAATGGAGAGATTCCTTAATTATATATGCATATGTAAAAATTATGTCATTCTTTGATGTTACTTTGTGTTTTATATGAATTTCACGTATGATTTTATCTAAGTATGCACGCACCTTGTTAATTATATATGTAGGAGGAGCTTTTGAAATCAGCCAAAGCAAAGATGGGAGAAGTAAAGGAGGAAAATGAAAGGCTAAAGAGGCTATTAACGAAAATTGTGAAGGAATATCAATCTCTAGAGAAGAAAATTTCGTCGATGGATCAATCTAAACAATCAATAGAAACGAAGTCATCGAGCAACAACAACAATGAAGATGATGATCAAAACCAAGAGCCTGAGATGGTTTCTCTAACTCTTGGTAGTTGGAGCTCTAACAAGAAACATAGTCATGATAACAACAATAAGAAACAAGAAAGTGATGATTCTTTGAATAAAAGAAGAAAGGTAGAAGCCGGAGGGTTAGAGCTAGGTCTAGATTATCGTAAGATTCAGCATAACTCTACGGCTAGTGCTACTGATTCGATCAAGTATTCGAGTTTGGAGAACTCGAACAAAGAGTCTAAGGAAGATGAAAACGTCGATACATGGGCATCTAGCCATCAAGTTGATCTTAAGGCAAAAGAGAACACAAATTCTAATAAAGAAGTGGATGATCAAGAGAGCTTGCATCAACCACAAGTGAAGAAAACTAGGGTTTGCATTAGATCAAGATGTGACTCTCCCACGGTTAGTACAACAATTTAAATTCACTAGACTTAAATTTCGATAACCACCTAAGAATTCACTTTACATATGTAAAAATGATTTATTTTCCATTGCATATTTCTATATACCTTTTCTTTGGCAACATAATATCATTGAAAAAAAAAGATATGTTACAATTGATAAATAACACGTATGTAGGAACTGAATTAAAGTATATAAAGTTTATTATGATTTATGAACTTCTAAGACTTTAACCAAAATATGAAGAAAGTCATCCCCTAAACGTGTTTGTTTTATGACAAATAGATTCATGACGGATGCCACTGGAGGAAGTATGGGCAGAAAATCGCAAAAGGAAATCCTTGTCCTCGAGCATACTATCGATGCACAGTTTCTCCGAATTGTCCAGTTAGAAAACAGGTAATTAGTCTTATTTCAACCATAGCTTGATCAACAAAGTCCATGATCCACTTTATCAGGCGTCAATGAAGCCTTTGACCTTCCCCCAATACCTCCAAGAAAAATCAAGTTTTATTTAATTACAACTTGTTATATATATAATTGAATTTTATTATTACAAGCTGAATAATTAACAACTTGGATGTGGTCTTAAGATATTTTAAATAATGCATGCTAATTTATACTTTATAATACTTCTCAATTCTAACTCAACATGAATTTTTTTATACGTTTGGTTGATCCAATATGAATGAAAACTATTTAATCATTAATAAAATTTTATTGTTTAGGTTTCCATTTATCTATTGGTCAAAGTTTTTGAAGGAGTAAACATTTTATAAACATCATATGACTTGATAATTATATTTGTTTTATCGAGGAGATTGGCTTTAAAATAATTGTGAGCTAGTCTAAAATGAAGAGCTTTTAGATAATATGCTACCTCGCCCTTTATTTAATTTGTCTAGAATTAATTGTCACCCTATCTCAATCTTTCAGAAAACATTTGTAGAGTATGTGATACTTTATACGTAGTAATAGTTAGTCATTTGTCACTTAATTTTATAGTAGCATATTGAAAAATTTATCATACTTTAGGGTAACGGTAATAACATATACTTGTATTAGTTTAGTTAGTTTATTTGGAGAAGTTTAAACTAAAGGAGCAAAAATTATAAATTAAGCAAAGAAAAACACTTATAGAAATAAGGATTTTTTTGTGAAAAACTACCTTTTAAACTCCAGATTTTGTGAAAAACTACCCTAAAAACAAAATGTTGTAATTAACTAACTTATAAAATATAAAACGTTGTAATTGACTACCTTCTATCGGAATGACACATTTGACTTTTATTTCCTGACGTTGTTCATGTCACGTGAGGGTCACTTGACCCTTTAATGACTTAATAAACCTATAACAATTTTATTTTTTTGAAATGTTATGGTGATTGATTTTTCAATTTCTTCTGTAGGTACAAAGATGTCCACATGACATGTCAATCTTGATCACAACCTATGAAGGAACTCACAACCACCCACTCCCTCTCTCCGCCACGGCCATGGCTTCGGCCACCTCGGCTGCCGCCTCCATGATAAAGTCCAACTCCTTAACCTCTCAAACTCCAACCCTCACAAACCCTAGCCTAACCACTTCATCTCTAGGACTACATTCCACAAACTTCATGACCACTTTTCACAATAATCCTTCCTTAATCTCAGCCTCATGTCACAACTCACACCCTACGGTTACCTTAGACCTCACGGTCCCGAACTCCGGCTTCTCCTCCTTTGATTGGTTATCCTCATCCTCATTATATTCTTCTTCTAACTCAGCTAGAAACTCTAGCTTCCTTAACTTTTCGTCGTCGCCAGCTTCATCATCATCACTCCCTTCATTAGACTTTACTACTTCATTACCAACTAGTACTACTTGGGCTAATGGCTATTTGTTACCCTACACTAATAATAATAATAATAATACAAGAAATAATAATATTTTCCAAAACCCTAGTAATAATAATGCTCAACAGTCTTTGAATGAGACAATAGCTGCCGTAGCTACTAAGGCAATTGCATCAAACCCTAATTTCCAGTCAGTTTTGGCAGCAGCAATCTCATCTTATGTTGGAAATAAGGCTAACAATGACCAGAAAACGGCGTCGTTCCCTTCGGGTGGATCGGAAAGTGGCCGGAGCTTGGCATTGTTCCCTACTTCATTGCCCTTATCGACGTCGAAAAGCAATAATGCTTCAGTAGGTGCAGATGCAAGGGATCATATTGGGTGAAGGTTGGAATTGAGTTCCATAGTTATATATATGCTTAATTGGTGTGCATTTTGGCATTTAGTTTTTCCCCTTTATTTATTTTTTGTGTAGATTTTTTTTTATTTTTTGGGGTGATCCAAAACTTCCAAGTACATAAACATACTTCCTTTTGTACAATTATGTTTAACTAATTAGATGAAATCTTTACTATTTTGGCATATTTACAATGCATAAAACTGTTAGGTATCTCAAAAAAGTTTTACGCATAAGTTTAGAAAGTTTGACTACATACATAATATGTTTTAAAAATTTGAGCACATAAATATATGAAAACTTATTAAAGAATGTAGTATATATGACAATGTGGCTCTCACCACAAGAAGTAAAATATTAAGCTTTCTTTGCTATTTATTTTTCAAGTTGGTTATTCAAGCATTATTACTAATACACTCTATTAATTTTAGCCATCTCAATTATATACATATATTCTAAATTGTCACAAAAACGAATCTAATTCTTAATAGCTAATCAAAATGATAATAAAATTGAAAATAAAATTTGTAAACATTACTAAAGAAAAAAACTAAGATTAAATGTGGAGAATGTTGGAACAAACAAATTATGTGGATAGTATCATATTCTTGATGTCACTTAATTATCTCTTGAAATCATATATTTGACTCTGTTAATATTTCGTGTTTAGATATATATAATCCCTTTGAATATGTAAATAATACTTCATATTTCATTATAGAGTTGGATATTATATATATCCCTTACTTGATTTAGAATTTACATATTAAACGAGTTTTGGGGTGAAAAAAGTGATCAAAACCCATAAAAATGGGTCTAGCTTGGGTCAGATTTGCAGGTGATCGAGTAAATTAAAAAAATTGACATGTCTAAGACTTTGCATGTTCTTTTAAGTTGTAAATCTGCTCTGCTATACTTCATTCGATCTGTTTAGAAGCTAAAAAAAACAGGCCTTAAATATACATAATCTTGAATTGAATCCTCATATAGAAACAAGATTAATACCTTGATAAGGACAATACTGTTGATAAGTATATCTTATTTAGTAGGTGTATGTATGTATCCTTCAACTTAAACTTTTCAAACGATGACATTACGGCTTTGCATGGCTCTGATTACATTAAAATATTGACCAGTATTTTGTTATGAAAACGTACTATGTTGCCTATTACATAATTGGTTAGATAACGCACTGAAATACCAAATCTGTTAGAGAAGAATAATATTCCCTCCAGAACATTTGGGACATCTAGTTTATCAGTCACATATATACTCTAGATAACTTTCATATGTATTTCAATATCAAGTAAAAATAAATTGAGACGAATCTAACAAAATTCTATATAACTATTTATAGTTTTTTTTAATAAATTTTATTAAGGAAGATTAAAATAAAACGTGTAAATAGTGTTGAAGTTAAATTGCAACCAAATAAAATCAATGCCAATCAAGAACATCACAAAGGATAGATTGGACCATAGAATTTTAGCCGTATCAACAAGACAACAAGCTAAGTGAGCCAATACGTTTGTAGTCAATGCCAGGGTATCAAGGGCACCTGTAAATTGTAATTATATACTCGTACTTGTATGCATGATAATTGTGGACTAAGTTTGTCAAGTTTTGTTATCTCCGATCTTGTGCAAGACAATGATGGTTGAAATTTATGTTAAAAATAACAAAACCAAGAGATAATATTTCTCTGGTTTGTCGTCAAAAGTACTTTGTAACTGTAGTTAATTAACGACAAATACAAGTTTATCTGCCACATAAACAAATTTTTGTTAATCTGGTGACATTTTTGTAAATATATTAAAAAAAGCATAGCCGTCCAATTACTGTTTGTGTTAAGACATATTAAGGAAATATTATTTAGTTGATTGGGTAAATATTTAGTCTAGATATTATTTCCTTATTTCTAGGATATTATTGTGATATCTTTCATCATTGGTTTACCTTAGTTGTCATACACGTTTTGGTGTAGGCTTAGGAAACTAATTGGTTTTGTATTATTATAAATATTGGGCTCATGAAGCTAATCAAGGCAAGCTAAAGTTTATCACTTTACAGTTTGCAACTTGTATTTACTGTTTGGTGAGAAAACTACACATATACCCCTCAACTGGTATATGAAAAGACGTATGTACCTTCCACTGATACTTGAAAAGACGATTATACCCCTAGATAAACAAAAACTGGGCAGAGCACATCTCGTTAATTGAGTAACATAATTCAATGTATACTAGATCATGAAATTGATTAAAACCTACGTAACTTTGTAGTCTAACTAGAACATGAAAGCAGTCATAGTTTCATACTATACTATACTATGTTCATATCACAACAATTTGTATATATTGTACTAATTTGAAGCCCTAAGAAATATTGGGCCTTGAGCGGTTGCGCAGGCTACACCGACTAAGGGTCGGGCCTGATAATTAGATGGAGGAATGAGGAATCTCTATCCTTTAAGGAAATTGTATTTACTGTATCTTTTGCCTTAGTCAAAGACTTTAATTCAATGGCAGATACTCCGTATGAGAATAAATTTGGTTTGCTGATTGGGTTTGGATTTAGATTAGTCTACAAATCTACAATGAGTAATAGGATTTGGAACACTACGTGATTTAAGGATTTGGAAAAAGACAAAGCAAGAACCCTACAAGATAAACTTCGACTATGACCTAGTTACCAAGTTAAAATCTAAGGATGTGTGTAGAAAAAGTTACAAATTCAAATCCCACCATCTCCGTTTGTAATTTATATCGTCCTTAGAACTCATTCGAAAAAAGGGAAAAAAAAATTATAGAGGGAATAGTCATGAGTATCAATGCAATATGGGTATCTCAAGGCCCAGTTTATGATGGATTACCAAAGGCCCATTGGGCCTCTCCAGTGAAAACCCAAAAACTGTAGCTAATTGACACTTGTACAAAATAGACACGTGGGAAAACAGGCAATCCTGTGGGTGGTAACAAACTATCAATCAGAACAAACTGCTAATTTTGGAGGACAGTGGAAAAAAAAAAAAAAAAAAAACAAATTAATCTTTCAGTTTCTTCCATTTCATTTCATTTTATTCTATAAAATTTTATCATCTTCTTTCCTAATATTGCTAGCAATTATTCTGCAACAGGTATTATCAATCTTTATAACTAATTCATATTAAATTGTTAGTGTTATATTTCGTTTAGATGTATGTGTCCGTAAAACAATCCCAAGTTCATAACTTTATGTGATTTGATCTTATAATTTGTAGTTAGATAGTAGTATTTTGACAGATTGCCTAATATATTGCCGTATTTGTCCTCATTTTCGTATCCGTTTTCGTGCAGCCTGCCTTAACTTTGCTACTTGTATGATATATGATGCATGTTCAGTTCAATGAAACATGAGTTATATTTAGGAACAAAATATAATCCTTTATCATAATAATGATACGGTAATAAAAAATAATAATTGTACCATAAAGAAAGTTATCAGTCGGATGTTATGAAATAAACATAATCAAATTTATATTTTATAGTACTATGGTTGTATTTATAATAATGTTTTCGAATGATTTTGTTCCAATTTTACAAACTGCAGAAACTATAAATCTGATTGATTATATTATTACCAACTGTAAAAATTGATATTAGATATTAGTTGTTGTTTTAGGCATGGATAAATCAGATGAGAAAACAATGGAAACTGCAACAACAGTGAGTTATGATGCTTACTTTGAGACGATTCAGAGTAGGAAGAAATTGCCCGTTTCCTTACAAGAGACCTTGACAGCTGCATTTGCCAGCATTCCTGTTTCATCTTTCCCACAAGTTCCTGGTGGCAAAGGTAACAGGTTATTCATAACTAGGCTAAATTTTATGTTACTAAGACTCGGGTACTTGTGTCGGATATGGGTATGTGTCCAGGTGCCTGACTCGGCTATTATATGACAAAATTCTGAGATTTTTTACCCAAAATGAAGTGTCAAAGCGATCATAGCCAAGATCCAACACGGGTACCTGAGATGAAATGAAAAGTCTGAGTAACATAAATTGCATTGCTTTTATTTTGCAGTGATAGAAATCTCAGCAGAAACATCCATATCTGATGCTGTAAAGATACTTTCTGAATGCAACATACTCTCGGCTCCAGTAACGAATCCGGATAAAGCTCAAAGCAATGATTGGAAGGAGAGGTATCTTGGGATCATAGACTATTCAGCGATAATATTGTGGGTATTAGAAGGTGCTGAGCTTGCTGCTGTAGCTTTATCTGCTAGTTCTGCTACAGCTGCTGGAGTTGGGGCAGGTGCAGCAGGGGCTCTTGGAGCAGTGGCACTAGGTGCCACAGGCCCAGCCGCGATTGCTGGGTTAACAGTTGCAGCAGTTGGGGCAGCCGTGGCTGGTGGTTTTGCAGTGGACAAAGGGATGGGAAAGGATGCTCCGACAGCTGCTGATCAGTTAGGTGATGATTTCTACAAAGTGATTCTACAAGAAGAACCATTCAAGTCAACCAAGGTATGTTTATTAAGGTTCATTCAGGATGAATTTTTATAGCTGCCAAAATCTGGTATTCATATATTTATGACAATTATCATATATTGACATTATTTTAACTAAGATTTACACATTCTTAAAAGAGTTGTTGGCACCCAAAAAATGTCTATATCTGGGAAATTCTGTTGACATCTGCTTGCATTTCCATTGATCCTTCATGTAAAGCCGTGTTGTGTGCTGTACATATCTTTGGCTTTGCAGATCAGGGAAATTGTGAAGTCTTTCAGATCCACACCATTCCTTCCAGTTTCAACTGAAAGCAATATGTTGACAGTTTTATTGCTTTTATCGAAGTATAGAATGAGAAATGTACCAGTAATTGAACCAGGGAAGGCTTTTATGAAGAACTTCATCACTCAATCTGCTGTAGTGAGAGGCCTTGAGGGATGTGGTGGACGAGATTGGTTTGATTGCATTGCTGCCCATCCCATTTCTGAATTGGGCCTTCCTTTTATGTCACGCGATCAGGTGTTTTCTTCTGCTGTCTTTAAGTCACCCTCTCTGTCTTATTTAATACTAGATACATTATGGAATAGCAGTTTGGTACTGATATTTTGTAAGGAATTCCTTCTGTTGGCAGGTTGTAAGCATCAACAGCAGTGATCTGATTTTGGAGGCATTTAAGCGGATGAAGGACCATCACATTGGTGGCCTTCCGGTTGTGGAGGGACCAAAGAAGAAGATTGTTGGTAATTTGAGCATGAGAGATATAAGATACTTGTTACTCCAGCCCAATCTTTTCTCCACTTTTAGGTATTTTGTTCAGCGAAAATTTGAAAAGGATCTGCAGCATTTTTTATGTCCTTAGCTGTTGTTATTTTCATCCATAATCTCTATAAGTACCCCGTGTTAGAAAACATGAAAAATCATCAGAAAGTAGTAAGACTCAAACAACTATATGTATACTGTGCGGGAAATTGAATCAGCCAAGGAGTGCAAAAGAAAAAAATTGTTTTGCTGCGCAGGAAAAAAGACATAATTCTTACAAAATGTTAACCTTAAGTTATTGGGATAAATTATAAGCTAAAAGAAATCGCTCTACATTAAGAAGGTGACCAAATATATTTAATTAGTTAGAAATTTCACAATTACAATTAACTTTAGCTGTTAATTTAAATGTGATCCCTCATTGCCTGTACATTATTTTATATGATCTCAGGTGCAAATTGGATATGTGGTTAGTTCTTACAATCTCTTGTATTTCAGGCATCTTACAGTAAATGACTTTATGAAGACAGTTTCCTTGATGAGCCAAGAGGCAGGGAAAGTTACCCAACCGATAACATGCAAGACGGACACCACCCTTGGCGATGTTATCCACAGCTTAGCTTCCAAGTCAGTTCACAGGATCTATGTGACAGTTGAGGAAGATGAAGTTGTTGGTGTTATAACACTTAGAGATGTTATTTCTTGCTTCATCTATGAACCTCCAAACTACTATGATGATTACTTAGGTTATTCTGCAGAGGAGTTGCTCGAGAAGTGAGATGTCTTTTTTCTTTTTAATTAAATTAAATGCATCCAATCTAGATTTTTGCCTTGCAGAAATTTGAGTTGCAAAACTTGCAAGTTACACAATGTCCTAGCAGTATACTAGGGGTACATTAGTTAATACAAGAAGTTTTTACATACCTACAAGGCTACAAGTATTTATTTAAGGCACATCCAATAAGTTTCTTTTGTTGTACTTTGTATCTATAATATACTCTTATTTGATGGAGTATATGTCAATCCAACATACCAATACAGAAGAAATCTCATTTTGAAGTATACCATAATGTTCTGTCACTTCTTGTTACCTTACTCGAAAATGTAAAAATAGGCATAACAGAGCAAAGCTTGTTAACCATCCAAATGCTTTGTAAGCAAAATCAATGTTATCGAACACATAGGAGCAGTGCACAGCAATTCTGTTAAGAATATGTACCTTCAACCGTTCAAAATCTTGTGGCATTTCAAAGATCAGCAGAAAAACCATTTACAGTGGACCTTAAATCTTGTGCACATTAAGCAGTGAAATTTCCATTTTCAGTGGCATTGCTTCTCCTAGTTCAGTCGATTGTCGAATGTTTTCAAGAACTCTTCGCGAAGTGCAATGTCCTTTGTTGATTGGATTCTTCATCTTCCTGCTATACTAGAATAGGCTGATAGCCTTTTCCTCCCTTAACAAGGTGCCGGTAATTGTGTGGCATCTCTGGTTGCCTGTCAGGGTAAATATGAGGATCATTTCAGGTTATTTGCACACTATAGCCAGGATATTTCTCCAGTCCCTTCACATCAATCATATTCCTGATTCTCTCAACATCCGCCCACCTACCCACTGCTGCATATACATTGGATAAAACCACGAATGTAGCTCGATTTCCAGGCTCCAACTCAGAAAGTTCCTTTGCCATATCTTCACCAAGTTTTGGATCCAAATGGTGCCCTGCAGCACCAAGCAATGAAGAATACACAGAACTTGAAATTTCAGGGATTTCCTGTATCAATTCTTGAGCTTTCTGAAGGTGCCCAGATCGACCCAATAGGTCAATGATACAAGCAAAATGCTGCTGAGTTGGTTTCAGGCCATACCCTGTAGTCATCATCTCAAATACTTGTAATCCTTTGTCAAGTTGACCTGCATGACTGCAGACTGTCAGTAGGTTAGCAAAAGTGCTACTATTAGGCCTGACATTCTCTTTCTGCATTAGATTAAAAATTTCAAATGCAAAATTTTCTTCGCCATTTCTTCCATATCCTGAAATCATTGCATTCCAAAAAGCTGGGTCGTCAGGCTTATCTTTGTAGTGGTCAAAAATCTTGCGTGCCCAAGAAGATTGCCCACACTTCATGTACACGTCGATGAGAGCAGTAGTGAAGAACTCATCATTACTGATATCAGCTCTTATGGCAGCTGCATGAATCTGAGTTCCCAACTGCAGAGATGAGATCATGGAACATGCATCCAAAAGGCTAGTAAGAGACTTCAAACTTGGAGTAATTCCTTCTGATACCATCTCAGTGAAGAACTGCAATGCGCTCTCATAATTTCCTTGTTTTGAAAATCCACTGATCATTGTATTCCAAGTTGCCGAATCTGGTACCAATCCTTCAGATTCCAATTCAGAGAACAACTTTAGGGCAGTATCACAATCACCAGTCAAGAACATACCGGCAATGATTGAATTCCATGTAATCAGATTCCTATTACCCTTCATTTCTCTGAAAACATGATAACCGGAGCAAGAACCACATTTAGTATACATGTCTACAAGTGCAGTTCCTACCATGATATGAAACTGTAATCCAACTTTTACAGCAACCCCATGAACTTGTCTTCCAAAGCGAAGATTAGTGACATTGGAACAAGCACCCAAAACTGTAACCAAAGTAACTGCATTAGGCCCTTCACTAGAAGACTCAAACATACCCCTAAACACCTTCAAAACAACGCGATAAACACCATTCTGAACTAATCCAGATATAAAAGCATTATAGCTCACCACATTCTTGTATTTCATCATTCCAAATGCTTTCGTGGCCGAGACCACTTCAGAACAAGTCATATACATTGTCACAACCCCAGTTGCAACATAAACATCCCTTTCAACACCAATCTTTACAGCCCAACAATGAACTTGACTACCATTCTCAACACCATCACAAGCTGACAACACACTAGCAATCATAACCGAATTAGGCCTACACCTCCTTAACCCAACCTCTCTAAAAACCACAAGAGCTTCTCCAAAACACCCATTCTGAGCAAACCCAGAAATCATAGCATTAACAGAGGCCTCATTTCGTTGAGGCATTTCATCAAACACCTTGATTGCATATTTCAGTTGTCGAAATTTCATGTACACATGAGTAAGACCAGTTGAGGCGTATGTATCGCAGTAAAACCCAGATTTGATGAGATGGGTATGAATGATTTGGCCTTGAAGAGGATAATTAAGCTTGGCGCATGATTTAAGAAGACATGGGTAGGAGAAATGGTTAATGGGTAAAGAAGAAGAACGAAGGTGTGAATATAAATGTAAAGCTTCTTTGTAATAACCATTTGTGACAAACTTTGCTATATTATGACTCATATGCAACACTCAACAAGCTCTGATCCATGAAATTTGATGTTTATACTGAAATCTTAAATTGCTGTTCCAGATTGAAGTTATTTTTAAACTATACGGTAATTTTTTTTATTTATTTATTTATTTTTATTTTTTTTAGAGAATAAATTCGAAATCTTCTTCCCATAGACACGTAGTTTAACTCCCAGTTTCAGGACCTATGATCGATTCTCAACCCGCCCTTGTAGCTCTCTAAAAAAAAAAAAAAGTGATTTTATTTAAAATATTTGTTTATTACGGGGTATATAATAGGTTCTCTCTTGTATTTCATTATACACCCACCAACTTTTATATGGAGTAGAACTCATGAGGCTCATTAGTCGTTAGTGTTACAAGGGTTACTCAATTTGTATTACTCTTACAAGGGTAACTTCGTCATTATTAGGAGTTATTCGGTCAATATTAGTATATTACATGGTTAGGCCCTATTCTTTAGCTCTACTGTCACATGTCCTGCTCTGCCCACAAGCTCAAAAGAACCAGCCTTACTCCGTTAGTGTTTTTTTTGTTTACATAAAAAAAAAGCATAATACTCCGTTAGTATGTTAGTATTATAGAGGTTGATTTGCTATTATACAAGCGACCGCATGGTGAGACTAGCAACACACAAAACGCGTTCAAAATAATCCAACCTTTGATATCCAATTACTCGTTACAAGTTATTAACCCATTATAACTGGTGCAAATTTGATTGCCACTTCCTTATTGGTTTGAATTTCTTCAATTATTAATTTGAAAAAAGATTTTAATTTTAATTTTAATTCTAATTCTAGTTCTAATCTAATCTTTAATTTTAATGATAAAAGTTAACCTAAACAAAAATCTCCAATAAGGCAGATTTTCATTATTCTATTGTAAGCTTAGTTAAAACTACTCTTATAGTCTTTTTAGTTTGGTGTCTGAGCCATGCTAGATTGTTGATAAAATTTCAGTATAAACTTTTTTATTTGAATGCTAAATATGGTCTTACAATCCCTTTTGATACATAGGATTTTTAGACATACAATGTCATATCGCTAATTTAATTAAATAATAGTGTACTTTTTGTAGTTTAGGTTGTGAATATTTATGTTATTATTGACTTGAAATTATTTTTATTGAACTTAAATTGTTTTTATATATATATATATATAAAAAAATTCTCTATTTTTTAAATATAAATTAAATATATTAGAATTTTAACGAATTTCATAATGGATATAGAACCGATTTATATGATATCTATCAAAAGTTATGATTAATTTTGTACATATGAAGTATTAGAAGTGTATTGATGATAAAACTCTATACAACAATTTTATCTTTAAAAAAAATAAATCAAAAATCACTTACTTAGCATCCTATGTGTCATAATAATATCTATTTTTTGCCTAAAATTGAATTACTATACTTATATAAATTTTGCTCAATTGAAATTAATTTTACGAATTAAACTTACTCTTACTAAGGACCTGTTCACTTCAGCTTAATTTCAGTTCAGTTCAGTTCAATTCAATTTAAGCTCCAATTAGTTCAGTTGCTCCTAATTTCTTTCTCTCATAAAATATTCATTTCAACTCTATTCAGTTCAGCTCCATTCAATTCAGTAAATGTGAACATGCCCTAATTATTTGTTATATTTGTTCTCTAAGGTTACTGTTTTTTTATTGAACTGGCATTTTTTTTTGCTAGACTGATGAACTTATTTTTACTGACATAAAATTATATTTTATTGAATATTATTATTTAAAGCGAAGAAAACAAAATCTTATACAGTTTTTTTACTCCATATTACTATTTTTCTATTAAAAAAACAATTAATATATCCCCATATTCCCCAACCAAATAACTATACTTTCCCCTCCCAAAAAAAGGCTACTCATAATGGAGTATACAGTTAACTATACTTGAATTTTTCAAAAAAAAAAAAAAGTTAACTATACTTGAAACTCCATACCATAAATTCCCCTTATTGATTCCGACCCTATAATTTCTAAGACTTTGGACAATGATTAGTATTGCAATTAATAGTATTACAATTAATATAAAAACTAAGGAAGTACTTCGTATATGTTTCTCTATATATACACCATAGAAAATACTCCATAAATTTTAATTTCACATAATTTTGGTACCATTAAATTCATACTCTTATTAATTTTTATATATTATCCGCATGATTAATATTACAATTAATATACTCCGTAAAAACTAAGAAAGTAAATATTTTTCTCCATATACACCATAAAACATACTCCATTAATTTTACTCTCACGTAAAAACACACTCTTATTAACTTTCTTATACTATCCTCTACTGTAATTTTTTTATTAAAAAAAAACCGTATTACGGAATAAAATGTTAAAATGTTGTGAGTATTTAGAAACGGAAATAAACAAAACTCGTATTCTCTGTACTGGTAGTCGTACTCTCGGTTACAGCTTGGTTTGGTGATCTCATTCCCAAATTGTACCATATATAAATCCAATATTCTCTCTCCTCATTTGTAATCGATCAATGAATTTTCATTTCTAACACCGCGTTTTCTCACCTCCCTCCATCATCTTCTTCTTTTTCTCTCTCTAAAATCCCTAATTTCTCAGCTATATTCCCCAATTCTGACCTCTCTTCGTGATTTCTTCTCTCTTTTCTCGCCGCGTTTGTTTCTCAGGTATAATCGAATTTCATCTCCTTTCTTTTTTTAAATTTTTTTAATTTTTGTCGAATTAAAGCTTGTTCTTTGCTCTTCTATGAGTAAATTGTTAATTTTATTTGATGAAAATTAGTCTTGGTTTTAGTAAAGATTAGCTTTGATTAGGTTTTTGTTTTTTCTTGTTCAACCCTAATTTGATTTTTTTATTTTTTATTTTTTTTTTTATTTTAATGAATCATTTTCTTCTTTTTTCTGTAAGGGGTGTTATGTTGTCGTGAATTAAAAATTGAAGTATGTCGTAGATCTGATTGTTTGTTTTTGATGATAAATATACAGAATAATTGAATTTTGGGGTGATTAATTAGTTGAAAAGTAAGCAAATTTTTGTTTACAAGAATTTTTTCCATTTGAATGATGATAACCTAACTAGTTATTACTTTTTTCCTGCTTTTGTTTGCAAGAAGAATTTATAACTTGTTGGAAGATTGTGATTTTCCGTTTCAGTAATCATTTTAAAGTAGTAAATGATCGAATTTCATTGGAAAAGAGGTCATTTTAAAGTAGTAAACGGTGCATTTTCATTGAAAAAGAGGATTTTTTTGGTATGACTTAATAGTGATCTTGATTAGCTTATCACGAACCGAGGCTGGAAATTCTCTGATTAGCTACTTTTTCAGCTTGTTTTGAGGGTTTTCTTGTTGGCATATTGTGGTTGCTCATCATGGGAAAATATTTATGCTATTAGGTTAAAATTGGTTAAACCCTAGGAAATAGATCTTGTTTAATTGAAGTGCCTCTTTACATATTTCGAGTTTTTTTTGGTTTTGTTGTGCTAAAGCTATTCCCTTGGTTAATGTTTTAGGCGGTGAGGATGTCTACTCCAGCAAGAAAGAGGTTGATGAGGGATTTCAAACGTCTGCAGCAAGACCCACCAGCTGGGATTAGTGGTGCTCCTCAAGATAATAACATTATGCTCTGGAATGCGGTTATATTTGGGTAGGCATAAACTGTGTTAAGAGTTTTTATCAGGTTTATTAATCTGCAGCTTTGCAAGAGAGAAGCACGAATATTATCTAATTGTTTTCTCTTTTTCAATTTGATTGCAGTCCTGATGACACCCCTTGGGATGGAGGTAATGAGAAACTCTGGAGCAATCTATTTAATGTTGATTATTCTTGTCATAGTTTAGTTGTGGTTCATTCAACGTAAAATCAAATGTGCTGGTTACATTGTTCACAAGTTTTATGCCATTTGTTAATATTCTGTTTTGATACTTATTTTTTTCACTTCTGAACCACGATAGCATTATTAAAGCCTTAATCTAAAGAGATGGGATCAGCTACTCGAACCCAGATGTCACATAAACAAATCCTTCTCCATCATTCACTCCAATCTGATGCATTGTGATTATGATGTCCCTATTGCTTCATTTACTTTTTTTACCCTTTCCATCCTAGCCATCCTTGGTCTATCTTAACTTTTTTTTTTTAACCAAACTATTTGTCATCGCAGTTTTCCAGACTTCTGCATGCTGATGTTGGCATTGGATATGCCTAAACCACATCAATCTGTTCTTTGTTTCATCCTCAAATAGCCACTTTGACCTGATTATAGAATGTAAAAACGTACACCTTAACCTTCGCATAACCACCACATTCATCTCTGAGCACAGATGCACATCAATTTATTCAACTCCTATTTCATGAGAAAGATCTTCTGAATTTGACCTTTCTTCTCTCTTCTAGGTCACGGTATTGATTAGGTTTGATATAGTTCCTAAATTGCAGCATTCTCATATTGAATGCATGACTTACTCGTGGGACACGTGATGTTGTGTTCATTAAATACTGTTTTTTTTCTAATTGTTGATGTTTGTGTATTGACGGCTGTTTTCTGCTGGTCATTTATTGTTTTGGGCCTTTCCTAAATTTAACGTCTAGTTTTTGGTAGGTTGTACACGTGTTCTAGTGATGAAAGGATCTAAGGTGTATCTCCTAAATTACAGATAACTTTTTTTCATTCTTGAAGATGTATGTATTAGTGTCGTACTTCAAAAACTGCTGAGGTGTTTAGCAGAAGTTTTTGTTTGAGTTAGACCATGATTTTTTTATTTTTTTTGAAATCTAATCTGTCTTATCTGTGCTCATTTTCTTAACATCATGAATTCTATTCCTACTTATTTTCTGTTATTTATTTTGAGTATGTCAGGCACGTTCAAATTGACACTTCAGTTTACTGAGGACTACCCAAATAAGCCTCCTACAGTGCGCTTTGTCTCTCGGATGTTTCATCCAAATAGTAAGTGCTAATTTTGAATCTGTTTATTCAAGAAGAATGCTTGTCTTCTTGCAGTGTATTTACGCTCTGCTTGTTATTGTTAAATCTCAGTTCTTGTGCTGATTGTTTTATTTAGAGGCTTTTTGATGCGTAATTGTATTGTTGTCATTTGTGTTTTAAACTGTCATTTGACCAATCGAATCTATATATTACAATTTATTTTTCGCTGCCTATGGCTGTTATATAATTGTTACAAGTAATATTAAAGTCTACATCAAAAGAAGGTATAATATCTTTTAAATTGTGAACAATTTCATTCCAAACAGGATTTTAGCCTTGTATTATTAATCATGAAAAGCTTGATACCACACTGTAGTTTCATTGAACTTTGGCTAGCTTGTTTTATACTGGCTAATTTAAGATGATCTTGCATGGAGCGAGTAATAAATACTTTCTTTTTTCAAATCTTTAGTTGCGAATTTGCAAAGCAGCACTGGCAAGCCATTCTTATGTGTGGAGGATGCAAGCTAGAA